AACCCTTACTTGAATTTGAAAAATGTCAAGGACCGACGCTATTTTATCCAGAGTTAGAAGACAATTACAGTGATTGCTTTCCAAAGAGATCTGGGAGTCAATACTTTTTAGCAAGAGAATGTTTCTTGTAACGTCCACGAAAAAAATGGCCGATAGAAAACGGCTTTGCAATCTTATCATGGACTGGCCAATCATTTGATAGAAAAGCACTTGAAAGCATTAAAAAGTTTATAATACCGAAACTATCAAACAGGAAGTCCTTTAACATATTCTTTATGTATTTGCACTTTTATGCATATGTACATATAAGCATAGCATAGCTTGGCTCAAAGCCAGATTAGTAATGACGATTGAATTTACTGCACTAGGTAACATTAGGGCAAATTCATCAAACCGCGCTATGTTAGATGCCCATAAAACATTTACTAAGTTTTACATCGTACCATACATCCTTAATAATGAATGAGCATTGAACACACTGACACTAGTTTATGACTTACCAAAAAAAAAGGGTAGTAATCATCGCACTAAATCATTATCTTAATATCTAAATATTAGTAAATATTAATATATTAGTGTAAATATAATTTACATTATATATCGACATTAATGGATGCGAAAGTAGTGTAATAGTGACTTGGAATGAAAAACTGGAGAGGGGGTTTCGAATTCCAGCTGAGTTCATTGCGTTCACTTTTTGCGCAACATCTGAATTCATCTGTTCTCACTCAGATATGGGCTAAAAAGCAGCCCAGACTTGGCAACTCCGAGAGTGGCTGGCAACCAGTCTAGGAGAAAGTAAAGTTGAAATTCAAGACGGTATGCAGTCATCGACAAGATGATGGCTTTTGCAATGATTATAATCTCTAGCGAGCATAAAATGAATACGTTGATGTACTTTCATTAATGCGTATATAATTTATATATATGAAGATAAAATATTGCATATTGAGTACTCTATGTATAATAACAGACCTATACGAAATAGTGCTATATAAATAGCGGTCTCTGTATAATAACAAAGCTATAAGTTATATTAATAATAAATATACCTTTTTTACCTCACCTGTAGCACATCTCTGAGTTTTATGCACAGTGCAATCGTCAGGTGGTGATTGAACAATGACCGTTGCCTAATTTAAATATTGATATTTATACCGGACTGTAATGATAATGGAGCAGATCATTTATCATTTATGTGAGTGAATATATATATATATATATATATATATATATATATATATATATATATATATATATATATATATATATATACACTCACACGCACCTCCCAATACAAATATATACCTATAATTTAAATACAAACATACAAATATTATGTGTAGTTTCAAATACAATAAAGATGTACACACACAATATATATATATATATATATATATATATATATATATATATATATATATATATATATGTGTGTGTGTGTGTGTGTATATATAAAAAGAAAGAACTGTAAGTGATTCTAATACATTTAATTGTTTTAAAAAGAAATATAGTATATTAAAAATTAAAAGTGAAAATATTTTTCAAATCGTAGTTAAATAAAACGTATTCTAACCTAAAAAAACCCCCAAAATCTTTAAATATACAAATAGAAAAAAATGCCGTAAGAATTTTTTCCGTTACCATAAATTTTAAAAAAATCCAGACAGCATGCATTTAACGGATGTCAGATTTCATTGAAAAATACATCCCTACCCCCTACCAAAACGTAACTAATAACTGATACATCAAAATACAGCGATAATGAACACGCAGACACCCCTTGTCTAGATGAATGGGTTTCTCTGTATCCTTGGAAACGTGAATTAAGATTTTTGCTGTGCTTTTAAAACCCAGTAATATGTTACTCCAAAATTCGCTTGAGGATGAAATGGAACTAATGTCTTTAATTTAATTACAAAATTAAATTCGAAGCTTTTAGCTTCCATTTTTGAAACATGGTTAGAACTGTAGCGGAAAAACCATATTTTAAACCAATTAATTTTAATATATATATATATATATATATATATATATATATATATATATATATATATAGTGAGA